TACACTATAGTGACCATACTCTCCACAAGTAAAACACACAAATAGTTTGGTTTGAGTATTTTTTTTAATTGGCTTCTTTTCATGCTTACCCTTATCCTTCTTAGTTTTTTTTGAGACTTGATTATCCTTCACAAACATGGTCTTGGGGGTGATGGAGGTGGTATTTTCATTTGTATAGCCTAGGCCTCTCTTGTCACCCACACTTTTCCATGTAGCTAACATTGTATCAAGTTTTTATATGTTTTGGAAAAGTCTTTTCGAGAGCTCTTGTGATTTGTGAAGGCCTCTATCAACTTTTGTAAGTTTAAACTCAAGATTCTACTTAGATTGTAAAAGTCCTTTATGAAAACACCATAATTTAAGTGTGTAGTAATAGTCCAAATAAAATATTTCAATTTGAATGGACTTAGTCTATTAATTCAACCCATGAAATTAAAAAATCTTAAAATTCAATTTTTTGAAAACAAAAAATAAAAAACTAACAATAAAACTAAAACTACCAAAAATCAACCTCCATAAAAACTCAAGTTCAAACTTATCATTATAATTTTTCAATCATTAACTTGAATATAAAAATTTAATTAATATTTATGTATTTTAAAAAATAAAAATAATTTTAAAAAATTTATTATTAATATTAAAAAATTTTAAAAAATCTCATTTTTTATTTTCACTTTAAACCCCAAAATGCCTCCGATAGCCCTTGGTTTAGGGATGTCATTTAGTCGAGACTCGAGAGACATATTATAGTGGATTGTTTTATGTTTACTCGAATATTGTAATGTAACTGTTTGACTCGGTGATAGGGAACATTGGACTGGTTGGTAAGCACTAAGTAGTGCAAGGCAGTTAGAAACCCGGTTCGAGCAATTGAAATCTTAATAGTGATCGTCTGAAAGAAACTAAAAAAATCTAATGAAAAACAGACTGGTAATATTTGAGGGCATGATCGGATTAGCGGACAAGGGGATGAGGGACGGGATTGGAATAAATTTTGAAAACCAGTTATATCTTCGAGTGTTCGAGATTTTTTCTCTTACCCAAGATATTTGTAATCCGGAAACAAATAGAATCCAAATCTCAAATAATACCATTTTAAAAGTTATGGTTGGACCAAGGGTCTAGGCCCACCCCGAATTTTTTTTAACAAAATTGGATTTATTGGGAGAATAAATATTTTAATTAATAGATTGAAATAAAAAAAGAATGTCATAAAACCTCTTGGAGTCAACAATAGAAAAAAAAAGAAAAAGAAGTTGGATTAAAAAAAAAGGTTGGACCCAACTTTATTACCAAGTTTTCCCTAAAAGCACTAAAACAAACAAAACATCATTAACCAATAAAGCGTCGCATGTCGTAACCTTCAAGCTTTAGCATTGATATTACCAATTGTGATTTTGGTATCGATATTTTGATTATTTATACAAAGAAAGACACTTTCGATGATATTCATAATGAAGTTATCATGCAATACTTCTGAAATATGAAAACTTGCCGAGGCCTTTTGTAAATTACTATAATTTTAACCTCATTTTTTTTTAGAGGGTTATAATTAACCTATTTTTAGTTTTTTTTTTGTTTGTATAGACATTATATACTTATTTTTTGCCCAGTTATGTTTAATCTATATAATAAAGTGCAATACAATTTAAATTTCAAAAGACAAACAAAATGACTTTTGTTTTTCGCAGTTGAGATCGTTTTAAATTTTACTTTAAAGTTAATACGTTGATTAATATTAACTCTCCAAATTTAATAGGGAAAATAAGTCTCTAAAGATGTATTTTTGTTAATTTTTCAAAAATATTTCAAGAATTTATAACATCTCATAAATACTTTAAAAAAATTTAGTATTTGGAACAATACTATCACCACCCCCATCGCCCTACCACCATCACCACTACCACCACAACTACCCCCACCACCACCACCAACATCCCTACTACCCCACCACCACTACCACCACCACCACCATCACCACCGCCACCACCTCGCCATTGCTACCACCCCACCACCAGAGCCACCCCACTACCACCTTTGCCAGAACCACCACTACTATCATCGCCCCCACCACCACCATTCTCGCTAGCCAACCACCATCACCACCACCTCCACTATCAACACTACCACTACTACCGTCACCCCACCACCACCACTACCACTGTCGCCACCCTACCACATTGCCACTTTCTCACCATCAACCCTACCCCCACCTATCTACTACCACCACCCCCATAACCATCACCACTACCACCATCGTCGCTGCCACCCCACCATCACCATTGCCGCCACCCCACCACCACCACCACTATCACCACCGTCGTCAACCCACCATCACCTCTGCCACAATTACAACCATCGCCGCCACCACCGATTGCTACCACCGACACCCACCATCATCGTTATCTCATTTTTATATTTATTACCACTACCACCATCATCCAACTACCATTATCGCTCACTGACAACACCCACTACCATTATCGCTCACTACCAGCACCCACCACCACCATCGTTGCTCACCACCAGCACCCACTACCACAACCCACCATCACCTATCGTCGCCCACCATTGTCGCCGGCCACTATCACCCACCCCCACCACATATACTACCACCAACCACCACCACCCGTCATTGCTCACTGTCGTTTCCACCCATTGTCACTCACTTCCATCCATCACCACTATTGCCCAAAAGCATCCGTCGTCGCCCACCACCACCGTCGTCACCCCACCACCACAAACCACCACCACTACCAACCACTATACCATCGCCCACCACAACCGTTGCCATCCACAGCTGCCACCACCACCATGATCGTCGTTACTCACCACAACCATCACCGTCTTTCACCATCATTGTTGCTCATCATCACTATCATCTCTCACCCCTTACAACCAGTGTTTAATTTCATTTCTCTCTCATCTATATTTGTAATTTGACTTTGGGTGTTTATTGTTGACAATTTTTTTTATAATTCTGTGATTTCAGGCACAGACAATAACTAGTTAATCTATAAGTATCAAATATGATGTAAAAAATAAAATATATCACATTATTTTTACCTATTATTAGAGGACAAAGTAAAACTTGTAGTTAAAGCATCTCCAACTATAACTCAAGTTTAAGTAAAAAGTTTGATTTGATATAGATTACTTTAATGGACAAACTTAAATATCTATTCAATCTTTTTAAAAAATTTCTTATTATTCTGAAAAAAATTTTTTTGTCATTCAAATCGTGAAATTTAATAAAATAAATGAAACTTTCTTTTATCTCCACAAATGGGTAATTCAAAAAAAAAAATTGAATATGGATACAACACCTCTTGGGAATAAAAAAAAGCAAAAAAAAACAAAAGAAAATCACCCCAGAATTCTCAAATTGTTTTAATCTTTTTTTTTTAAATCCAGAAAAAGAAAAAAAAAAAGAGTTACTTTGACTTGAATCTACTTTAAAGAACACAAAAAACAGATTGTTATCAACAAAAAAGGAAGATTGAAGAATAAAATGAAAAATTTCCTAAATTTGTGGATAGTGAAGGTTTAAAATTTCACAAAGAATCGGTCTAAAAGTGCACTATTGACGATGTTTAACTCAAAAAAGTCAAAGAAAAATTTGATGCTAGTCTTGGGGTTTATATTGTATGAAAAGATGAGTAAGAATAGGGTTTTGAAAAATACAAAAAAATCAAGAAGATGAAAGATGAAAATAAAGAAACTAACCTACAAGTCTTCAAAGGATCTGTGAAAGCTTGGTGGTGTTCGACAATGGAAGTAGCAAAGAAGAAAGAAACAAGAAGAGGCAGATAACAAGTCGTCGAAAAAGTCTTTTAGGTTTGAATAAGGTAAAAAGTTACTGTTAAAAATTTGGTATAGAATTTGAGTCTCCTTCAATTTAGGTCAATAATATGTAACTTTTTTTTGTTTTGTTTTTGATTTGCTATAAGTTTGAATTCAAGTTTAAAGAAATTTTTAGATCATTTAACCTCAAATTTAAATTAGAGTTAAAAGATTGATGATACTCTTAAAATATACCTAGCATAGAGCACAATCCTGGCTCCGTCATCGAGTAGCCCATTTCATTTCTTTAGAACTACCAATTATGGGACAGGAGAAATTCCTATGTTTATCTAATATAATAAGTCCATTTATATGCGAATTGGATTGGACAGTCAAATCCAATCCAATCTAATGTGACCAAGTCCAACTGTTCCGAAATGCGCCCATATACATGTAAAATCACAAAAAATGCAACAACATGGCATTGATTTTAAGAATAAAATATTACTTACGATTAATGCTTATAAGAATTAGATGAAACACAAGTCAGGAGTTGTTAAGTGTATATTGATCCTTAATTTAGTTACTAGTTTGGGTGAAAATTTTCTCCGTTTGGCTCTCCTTGTCTTGTAAAACTCGAAATCAAGTGAGTGATTAGTACATAAAATCATACGTCACACATGTGAATGCGACATCCGAATATAAAATTAAATTTAGATTAAATTAAAAAAAATCAATTTAACTAAACCAGTTTTCCAACCGGATAGAAGTGATCATTATTGAGGATCATCATGTTGTAGAATGTGGACTAGTAATAAATAACTTGATTTGCAACATAATCGACTATATAGAATTTTAATATTACCCATTGATAGAACTTCGCCATGAATCCAAAACAATAAGAACTCCAAAATGAGACAAAATATATGACTTATTTTTATTTTTCTTATTCATTTGATTTTGGTATTATGTGAGTAGTTTCATAATCGAATGGTTTTTATGGAATACTCATGTCCGGCAAATTTTATTAAGAAAAAAATATTAATAGTACGTTTTTTGTTTATAATTTTTTACATTAAAATGAGATGAATACAATATCATACATTTTTTATTTATAATTTTTTACATTAATATGATATGAATACAATACAAATTTAATATGATATAACGTCAATATGAGATAATAAGGCTAAATTGACATCCTAACCATCCAGAACATGGCCAACATGGTGGGTCCATGTTCAGGAGAAATTAGCCGTGTTTGGTGTCTATAGACATAGTAACATCAAACTCAAGGACACCGTAACTTCTCGTCTATTTCCTTTGTGGAAGCTCTGCTAAACCGTGTAGGTAGAACGCAGTCACGTTTCAAACACCCTTTTTCTTCCTTTTTCCAAGCTCTTCAACTACGTCACTCCTATCAGACTTGACCATTCCAAACTCCATCACGCGTTCACATACAACTATATATACCCAGCTCTTTGATCATTGTGTTCATATCCAGTTAGCACCAATCAATTATAGCTTACACTCTAGGAGTTTTATATATTTATATTTGTGTATTTCCACTACAATTCTTCTCCGTAGATTTTTTTTTGCTTTGTCTTTCGTTTCGTCATATTCCTAAATTCTAATAACTTATCCCATGAGCAAATGCACTGATTATGAACACATATTCAATCGCTTTGACAAAGATGGAGATGGAAAAATTTCTCCGTTAGAGCTCCAACATTGTGTCAGGTCGATAGACAGTGAATTGTTGCTAGAAGAGGTGCAATTGGTGGTTGATTCACTGGGCTCAGACCAAGGTGGATTGTTGGGGTTCGATGGGTTCGTGAGTTTGATGGAGAGCAAGGATGAAGAAGAAAAAATGGAGGACTTGAGGAATGCCTTTGGCATGTATGAAATGGAGGGCTGTGAGTGTATAACACCAAAGAGCCTGAAGAGGATGCTTAGTAGATTGGGTGAATCAAGGAGTGTTGATGAATGTGTTGTCATGATTAATCAGTTTGATCTTAATGGGGATGGTGTCCTTAGCTTTGATGAGTTTGAGCTCATGATGCTTGATTGAGTCTTTGTACAAGATTGTATATGGTTGAAATTTCAATTTATTCATTTATTTTTCTCTTTATTGTAATCCAAAATAGATGAAGCCAACCATCAAATTGGTGTGTTTTTTATATATTGAAGCATTGAATAGAAGTCCAGTTAGATAATCTCTTTTTCTTTAACTATGATTTTATTTAGATTTAATTTTTTGAGTAAATTATTACAACTATTGAGATTCATTGTCAATATGTTGAGAATTACTAATTAAGTTAGCAAATAAATTTAACAAATTAAGCCCAACAAACATTGCTTTTTCTTTAAATATTAGTGATAAATGGGACTGAAAATTTGTTATATCGTATGCAAATTTATTATAGAGAACGCTATTATATGTTTACTTTCACTCAATAATACATTATCCACTATAAATTTAAGTGGGATATATTATTTATTAATTAGTTATTTCTCGTGCCTAAAAGCACAAAATAATAAAAAAAAATTAACAATAAACATAATTATATTCACACCAAAAATTAAATCACAAACATAAAAGAGAGATGACAAAATTTAACTATCAATTATAGTAGGGTTATGCGGTGGTAGAGGTGGTGGGTAGCTGTTACCCATTCAGCCATTGGCAGCATTTGACATCGGGTAGCCTCGCCCATTGGCACCCATACCTTAGCCAAAAATGACAGAAGTCTCATGCATGACTGAGGAAGGTAATCTATGCACATGGGCATGTGGACACAAGTCAGCATATAAGCAAGGAAGCGGGTGGCTTGAATAGTGGGGTAATGCTAGCTTGAATAATGAGCCATGGGCTGGGCCATGGTTAGGCACGAATGTAATGCAATTCGAATGTTGAGGGCTCCTGACACATGCACAACATATGAGGAAGTTGGGCATGTGCTTTGCAGATGGTGGCAGTTCTGGGCAATTTTCTGGCAAGTGCACAGCATGTGGGATCTCTATCAAATTTGGACAAGAATGCAGACATCAGTTATAACTTTCTTATCATCCAATCACAACAGACCTTTGATAGCATTTGAATTACAGACATGTGCCTAGGCAGTTGGACTTGTAACTACCACCCTGAACATTATAAATAGGGTGTTTGGGGTCTGTAGTGCAAAAACAGAGTTGGCACGTTTTTGTAAACAGACTCTAAGGCTGAGTTCCTTATACTTTATTGAGAAAGAAAGGTTTAGTTGTTGCATATAAATTTTGTGTGCCTTGCCTGTGTGTTTACTTACTATCCATTATTTGTTCTATGTGCATTCTGAGTGTTTAACTAAGACTAAGTGTTGGATCTTAGTGTCATCACGAGGCAAAAATTTGGTGAAAAATTTAACCCTGTGACAGTAGTGGTAATGGTAGTGGGAAATGGTAATGGTTGTGGTAGGTGGCGACGACCTTGGTAATAGTGGCAGCCGTGGGTGGCAACGTGATGGTGGTAAATTTTGGGTAATGATGGTGGTAGTGGATGGTGGTGGTGGAGGGCAACAGTGATGGTAGTTATCAGTGGTGGTGATTGGGCGACGACGGTGGTGGTAGTTGTGGTGGGTGACAATAGCTGACGGTAATGGTGGACAACGACAAATGGTGATGGGTGTTGAAAGTGGGCGACATGGTAGTGGGATGATGGTGGTAGTGGTATAAGAATGAGATGACGATAGTGGTAGGTGGTGGCAGTGGACGACGGTAGTAGCAACCAGTGGCGGGGGCAGAGGGGGTGACAGTGAGGCAGTGGGAGTGGTGGTAGGGTGGCGGTGGTGGTGGGGTGGCGGCGATGGTAGTGGTGATGAGGATAGCAACGGTGGTAGTGGTAGTAGTAGTAGTTATGGTTATAGGGGTGGGGCAGTGGGAGTGGGGGTGGGGGCGATAAGGGTGATGATAGGATAGTGGTGGCGGTGGTATAGGGTAGCGGAAGCGATGGTTGTGGGGCAGTAAGGAGTAAGGGTGGCAACAACGGTGGTATTGGTGGTGACGTAGTGGTGGTGGTGATTGTGGTAGTGGGGTGGTGAGGGGCGTTGGTAGTGGTGATGCTAGGGCGGTGGCTGTGGTGGTGATAGTGGTGGGGTAGCAATAGTGGTTGTAGTGGTGGTGGGGGGGTAGTGGTGGGGGTAGTTGTGATGGTGGGGTGGCGGTGGTGATGGTGTTGGGGCGGTGGGGGTGGTTGTGATAGTGATGGTGGTGGGATNGGCAATTTTCTGGCAAGTGCACAGCATATGGGATCTCTATCAGATTTGGACAAGAATGCAGACATCAGTTATAACTTTCTTATCATCCAATCACAACAGACCTTTGATAGCATTTGAATTACAGACATGTGCCTAGGCAGTTGGACTTGTAACTACCACCCTGAACATTATAAATAGGGTGTTTAGGGTCTGTAGTGCAAAAACAGAGTTGGCACGTTTTTGTAAACAGACTCTAAGGCTGAGTTCCTTATACTTTATTGAGAAAGAAAGGTTTAGTTGTTGCATATAAATTTTGTGTGCCTTGCCTGTGTGTTTACTTACTATCCATTATTTGTTCTATGTGCATTCTGAGTGTTTAGCTAAGACTAAGTGTTGGATCTTAGTGCCATCACGAGGCAAAAATTTGGTGAAAAATTTAACCCTGTGACAGTAACGGTGGTGGTGATGGGAAATGGTAATGGTTGTGGTAGGTGGCGACGACCTTGGTAATAGTGGTAGCCCTGGGTGACAACGTGATGGTGGTGAATTTTGGGTAATGATGGTGGTAGTGGATGGTGGTGGTGGAAGGCGACAGTGATGGTAGTTATCAGTGGTGGTGATTGTGGTGGGTGACAATAGCTGACGGTAATGGTGGACAACGACAAATGGTGATGGGTGTTGAAAGTGGGCGACATGATAGTGGGATGATGGTGGTAGTGGTATAAGAATGAGATGACGACAGTGGTAGGTGGTGGCAGTGGATGACGGTAGTAGCAACCAGTGGTGGGGACAGAGGGGGTGATAGTGAGGCAGTGGGAATGGTGGTGGGGTGGCGGCGATGGTAATGGTGATGAGGATAGCAGCGGTGGTAGTGGTAGTAGTAGTGGTTATGGTTATAGGGGTGGGGCAGTGGGAGTGGGGGTGGGGGCGGTAAGGGTGATGATAGGATAGTGGTGGCGGTGGTATAAGGAAGCAGAAGCGATGGTGGTGGGGCGGTAAGGAGTAGGGGTGGCAACAACGGTGGTATTGGTGGTGAGGTAGTGGTGGTGGTGATTGTGGTAGTGGGGTGGTGAGGGGCATTGGTAGTGGTGATGCTAGGGTGGTGGCTGTGGTGGGGTAGCGATAGTGGTGGTAGTGGTGGTGGGGGGGTAATGGTGGGGGTAGTTGTGATGGTGGGGTGGCGGTGGTGATGGTGGTGGGGCGGTGGGGGTGGTTGTGATAGTGATGGTGGTGGGATGATTCCAAATACTATTTTTTTTTTAAAGTACTTATGAGAAGTTATAAGTTTTAAAGATATTTTTAAAAAGTCACTCCAAACACACCTTTAGAAATCTATTTTTTCTATTAAATTTAATGTGTTAATATTAGTCGTCTGATTAACTTTAAAATAAAATTTAAACCAATTTCAACTGCAAAAAGTAAAAATCATTTTATTTGTCTTTTGATATTTGAATTGTATTGTACTTTATTATATAGATAGATCCCCTTTCACTCATATGTGATGCGTGATCTATTCTCGAGTAAAATTGAGTAAAAATATGATGTCGGCATGCTCGCCTATACTCTTTTATTATGGCAATAAATTAATATGTCCANAGGCTGAGTTCCTTATACTTTATTGAGAAAGAAAGGTTTAGTTGTTGCATATAAATTCTGTGTGCCTTGCCTGTGTGTTTACTTACTATCCATTATTTGTTCTATGTGCATTCTGAGTGTTTAACTAAGACTAAGTGTTGGATCTTAGTGTCATCACGAGGCAAAAATTTGGTGAAAAATTTAACCCTGTGACAGTAGTGGTAATGGTAGTGGGAAATGGTAATGGTTGTGGTAGGTGGCGACGACCTTGGTAATAGTGGCAGCCGTGGGTGGCAACGTGATGGTGGTAAATTTTGGGTAATGATGGTGGTAGTGGATGGTGGTGGTGGAGGGCAACAGTGATGGTAGTTATCAGTGGTGGTGATTGGGCGACGACGGTGGTGGTAGTTGTGGTGGGTGACAATAGCTGACGGTAATGGTGGACAACGACAAATGGTGATGGGTGTTGAAAGTGGGCGACATGGTAGTGGGATGATGGTGGTAGTGGTATAAGAATGAGATGACGATAGTGGTAGGTGGTGGCAGTGGACGACGGTAGTAGCAACCAGTGGCGGGGGCAGAGGGGGTGACAGTGAGGCAGTGGGAGTGGTGGTAGGGTGGCGGTGGTGGNCCTTGATTATAATTGTTCCTGCCTTGATTTGAATTTTGTTGTGGTTTATACTGAGTAACTACCATGGCTGTTGGTGTGAATGGATTGAGTTGTGTCTTTTGAGCAAAGACTACTGAAAGCTCTTCAGTCTTGAGTAGTGCATGAAGTTCTTCAAGAGAGAGACGTTGTGACTTGGTTCTAACAGTAGTTTTGAAATAACTATATTCTTGTGGTAATCCATTCAAATTATACATCAACAAGTCTTCATCTTCAATATGTACAGAAACTATAGCCAATTTATTGCTAATCTCTTTGATTTTCTGCAGATAGAGTTATTAATAGAAGAACCTTTAGTAATAGATTGCAGATTGGCCTTGAGTTGCAGAATATTAGCCTATGACTGTAAGGAGAATCTTTTTTCGAGAGCAAGCCAAACTTCCTGTGATGTTTTGTATCCAACAACATATGAGATAGCAGACTGTGATAGAATTGCATTGAGAAGAGTCATATCAATGATTATAGTCAGAACTGATCTCTGCATCAATTACAAATTTTGGAGCATAAGGAATCGCACCATCTAGAAATCCTAACAATGAATGTGCTCTCAAGAATGAAAAAATCTGAAATTTCCAAAAGATATAGTGTGTGGAATAT